ATAGATTGGAATTGGGACTGGAGTTTGACTCTTTAGCAAAATAACGATGCTTTAGTGATGAATGCAGCGCCCTAAATAGAAAAGACCACAATCGGAGATCTATCTCTTTTTTTTTTTTGTCCGAAATCGAATCTGTTTGGTATTGGGCACTGAGATAGATCTCACATAGTTTCATATTTTTGTTTTTTTTCTTCTTTGATTTGATTATAATGATGATGGGAAACGGAGCAGTGATTCAGGCAACCTACTTGTTAAAAAAAATCCGATGACATGAGAGGTGTTTAACTGCTCCCACATCAATTGCTTCTGCTCTTCAGACTTGCTGAGATTTAATCGTCTTTGAAGCTGGTCTAGTAGTCTTAAGTACACTTCTTCAATCTTAAATTTGTTGTTTTTAATCAATGTTTTCTTTTAATTCTGGTTTATGTTTGGTCCGTTTGGATTTCTTTCGGTTTGATGTGGTCAATGCTGCGAGATTAGTTTGGATATCTCAGATTGGAAACAGGAAATACTTCGTGAAATAAATACTTAAATGGTTTTGATTGCTCATAGGCCCATTTGTAGCAATCATCTATTGATGGGTCTTCTTGACTATACCTAAACTAACTAACTAGTGTAATTATCAAGTGTATCTGAAGTTTATGACTAGAGAACTAAAAATTTTATATGAATATATACAAAGCCACCTTAATTTTGTCATGAATCATATCGGATTAAATTGAGTTCAATTTGTGCAATAGAACAAAGAAAAACCACCTTAATTTTCCAATATAATTGTCATATGATGATAATAGAGATTTTTGCCAAAAATGTCATTTGTTGGGAAAAAAGTTCAAAAAATGTCATTTAATTCAAAATTTTCGAAAATATGCCATAAAAATAAAAAAGACATTTATATTTTTAGTTATGATTTCATGATATACATTTTCGTCCACGATGTTATCGTATTTGTCCACCGTTATCATTAATGTTCACAGTCACCGTCTTCGCATTATCCACCATTGTCTCCGTCAACATCCACTGTTCGTTGATTTTGGTCCACCACCGTATTTGTCTCTATTTTGTCCACATCCGCTTTCTCTGTCACTGATTTTGTTCACAACCGTTTTTGTCCACCACCGCCGTCTCTATGTTTTGTCCACCACCGCTGTTTTTGTTTTTGTCAACAGTCGCCGACACTGTTTTTGTCCACGGTTGCCGTTAGAGAGAGAGAAATCAAACGAGCGAGAGATCCGGTAAAAGAGAGATAGAGAGATAAATCCAGCGAGAATCCGGAGAGAGAGTGAGAAATCCAGCCAGATCTGGAGACAAAGAGAGCTAGATCCAGCGAGAGAGAGAGAGAGGGAGAGATTTAGATATGGAAAATCTTCGTTTTTGTCCACATCCGCCGTCTCCATCATCACCGTCTCTGCCACCATTCTCCACCACTTTTTTCGTT